TTATCACCATTGTTATTATTATTATTGTTGTTGTTATTGTTATTATTATTGTTGTTATTGTTATTATTATTGCTGTTATTATTATTATTGTCATTGTTATTATTGTTATTATTATTATTATTATTATTATTATTATTATTATTCCTCTAGTTCCTGAGAAGTTTACAATCGTATAGTGATGAATTTTTCTCAAAAGGATAAAATAGAAAGCACAGGAACCAGAAAGGATAATTCAGAGGTTCACTTCCTGCTCCCGATGGGCTTGATTTGCACTTCCACGTACATTGACTGTGGTGTAAGTTTATAGTAACACATATTACTAATACAATTATTATTAGTATTTTATATAACTGATATGTCTGTTCTGTTGCATTTGTGGGTCAAATGTTTATGATGCTACTGGGATGTCTACATAAGTCGGGCACAGCTCCCCTTGCGTCGGAGCCTGACGATCTTGAGCTGCATACCTCCAGTTAGTACTCACTTCCTCATTTGATATATGTATTTATGTGCGTCATCTCGTCGATGACAATTTTCAGCTCGGTTAAACGAACAGATAAAGTAGTCCTGTCTCATCCGGTTCTTTTTTTTCCCCCAAAATTGTGCCATAATTGTTGCTAATATGATAAATGGGGTTGGGTATGTTTAGAGATGGTGCTGTATAATAATGGAGGGATGATGATGTTTCAGCCACGAGTACTGGATTGCCTGCATTCGATGTGTGAGGATTGCATCATCGCACAGCTGGATGGACATCGAGATGGTGAATCGAATCATGTCAGTGCAGCGCTTTCGACCGATTTCGAATTGGAAGGGACCTGCGAAATGCGGCCACCACCTCCTGGTGTGATCAGATGCGCTGCTTGTTTTCAGGTATCACGGTTCTCGATCGCTTCTTGCGCTTGGATAAGAGTTTTTTCATTTTACGCTCGCGTCAAAACTTCTGAGGATGTCATCAAATGTAATGCACAACTAGCATTTTGTAGGCTTTTCCTTTACAGTTAGTTATCTAGTGTATAAACAGATGTGTGTGTATGTGCGTATTTGTGTGTATGTACATGTTTGTGTGTGTTTGTATGTGTATGTACGTGTGTCTGTTATATGTGTGTATGTATGTATGTATGTGTGTATGTGTTTTCTATGTTTGTGTCATAAATTACAACAAATTCTGCGATCTGCTTAGTTAGGAAGCTGAAATTTTAAAGAATTTGTTCCTGTTTTTTTTTTAAATTCACGAAACATTATTAGCAGCTGCCGAATTCTACTGGATTTTATGCTCTACGGTAGGGTAAAATTTAAGTTAAACTTCGGTTATTATTGCGCCTCAACTTTCCAGAAAATTTGGAATTCCATATAGCTTTAACTGCTGTGATTTGCAGTTGCTGGAATTCACAGGCCAGCGGTTGCGAATCGTAGCATTTACAGCAGCTTCTCAAGTTTTTTTCGAGTTTCGCTGTATTTTTCGGTACTTGTTTATCTGTTCCAAAATTGCGCATGGGACATTTGCGCGCAAATTTACCGCCCATAAGCAGAATCGGACTGAAAACGCACCTCTTTTTTTTCTTTTAGAAGCCTAGGGGACGCTTCATGCTTTTTTAGGTGCGGGGTTCTTCTTTGTTCACGGATGGAAATGAGTTGTTGTTGTTGTTGTTGCAGGAGAGCCATGTTGGGAACGATGTTCGCTTCGTGAATCACATGCTTCAGGATTTTGTTCGTTTGCATGAAGAGGAAAGTGTTAGCGTCACAAAAGGCTCCCGCAGTTGTCGTTCCTGTAAAAGCGAGCAGCTTGCAATGGCCGTATGTAAGGAGTGTGCTTCCGATCTGTGCAAAAACTGCTATCAGGCGCATCGGGACATGAAACTGTTCGAAGGGCATACGGTAAGAGAAAGGATCAAAAAGCTTTTAGCCTGAAATCGAATAACTTGCTCAGCCCATCGTTAGTTGCTTCTCAGAATTTAAATTTTTGTTTTCACGCGTCTCTTCCAGTGTATTTGCTTTTTTTTTTCTCATCTTTTATGGCCGAAGAAGTGTTTGTCATCTTTTTCGGTGCATTTTATGGTTTCTTTTGCATCTATGCAGTGCAGAAAATGAATATTGACGAGGGGTTGTCTGTATGTATGTGTATTTGTGTGTGCGCCTCTACCGTGTTTTCATCTCAAGACCTAAAAAAGCTACAGGGCTGTAACTTTGGGAACTTAATCTACATGCTTGTACGGGCCTTAATCCCCAAAATGGGCACTCTTATCTACGTGGTTCCCACATACGGTCTTGTGAAAGTCCTTAGCGAGTAAGCCGCTAATTAGGGAACCAGAAATCTAGCAAGCTGAAACCTTGAGGGGATTTTTCCCGCCCACATAGTACTTAATGAATTCGAGCCCAGCCCCTCAAATATGCGTTCGTTCCCACGTACGAGTTTATGAAAATTTTTGCCGAGTAAGTTGTTTACACGGGAACCAGAAAAGCTAGAAAGTTGAAATTTTGAAGGGATGTTTTCTGACATTCGTGGTGGCCATTGTCAGTTCCTTTAGCTAGAAGCATCTGCCACAAAACAGTGCCGTCAGCGACAAAAAACTGCAGGGAATTGTGCAAAAAACCCATCTTTTGTACCGGTAACCGACGCTGACCAGTTATCGTTGTTGATCTTACGATTTGTGGCTTTATGGGGGCAGGACTTCATGTCATTAGCACATGTTCGAGCTCCTTCCTAGTTTTAATAATAGGCGCTGATCGTTCTGCTGATCAGCGAGGGGATTAATTTGAACAAAAAACACCAGATTTTGGTGCTTTTTTATCAGAAACTGTGCTTCAGTGCACTGAATCTTTGCCATCATTTGACTTGCTGGTTGTATGAATATTGTTTCAACTTCCTGAGATGCGAAGAAATAAGACAAATCACACGCGCACCAAATTTACCTAGATGGAAAGTATGATTTCTGGCTCAAATTCATCCAAAATAATAGAAAAAATCGTGGCTCCTGCTTGAAGTGAATTAATGAAAATATCCGGATTTTCGTTATTTTTAGGCGTTGACGTACGCGGAACTGGCACAGAATCCATCGGAGCTACCGCGTGATCCGGTGATGTGTGTACTGCATCCTCAAATGCCGTATGCATTGCTCTGTTCCAGTTGCGAAGCACCAATCTGTGGGCAATGCCATGCGGAGCACTCGGATGTGCGCAGCCACAATCTGATGAACGTGGATGAAAGGATTGGCGATTTGATTAAGCGTGAACTGAAAGGAATTGCAGCTATAGCGGATAATAAGGCAAGCTGCTTGCCTCAGCGCGTGAAAAATCCGTCATTGTTCACTTTCATGAATCTGCCTACGGTCGCAAATTACCACTTCACAACTTCGACCTCTTGCCCGTCAATCTTGCTTAGGACAACCAGTTTTGCCTGGGCTTCCTTCTATGACCCTTCCTTTCTATTCTATTTCGATTTTAGGTGAGCTGATCATTCATGGTGCGGGAAAAAAAGGGCGGTTATTCAACTTCAGTACTATCTTACTCCCTCCTCTCTGCTCCTTTCCCTCTCTTTGCCTATCCAGTGTGTCTTTTGACATGAAATATTGTTTTTCGAATTCACACGAAGTCACTGTTCCCTCGAGTTAAGTAGTCAAATGAAATTTTGCAATCTGAGCGGGTTTTTTTCCAGGCAAAAAGCACCGAAGATATATGCAGTTGTGTACCAGCACGACAGCGTATGTTGGCGGAACAGTACGAAACAATCAAAGGTGAAATCGTGGAAGCTTTCAGCGAGTACCATAAAGCACTGGATGCGGTCCAGGAGGAATTCTTGCATAAGCTGGATAAGCTTCGTGATGAGCAGGAGACCGATTTGAACAACCTTAATAAGCGAGTCAATAAAACAACTGTGAAAATTGCCGATGCGATCGCGTAAGCTTTTCGGAATTTTTTTTTTTTTCATATGGATAATTACCTCACTAAAAAGCCTGTGGGATGCCTGTGGCCGCGGATATGAAAATGTTTGTGTGGAATTGAAACAGGTGCAGATTTAAGTGTACCAGGTGGACAGTGAAGGTCGGTGTTGATAGTAGAGTAGGAAGATTGGAATTAGGTGTAATGTATAAGAAGACATTTCATGATGCAGTCTGTGTTTCATCCCTTAGCTGTAAACACAGACCGGACTATGCTTGCGGATAGGAGTGGTAATCGTCAGTACAGCCCCCTACCCGCCATGTATTGAAAGAACATGTAACTAATTTGCAAGAAGGATAAGTGAAAGAGAAGGAAAGAAAGTAAGAGAAAGTGGGAAGGGGAGAAAGTGTAATAGCATGAAAGTAATAAGCATCGAACATTGATCTTTTGCTCGTAACTCTGATCAAATGACGACCGGTGCTGTGAGGAATGAAGCCTGTTATTTTAATATACGGTACAACGAACAGCGCAGCTTCAAAACAATTTCAGCATCACAGATACAAACAGCAAAATTCCAAATTTTCCACGTTTTTAGTGGTTGAGCGGTTAATTCTGGTCACAATTCCCCACGTCTTTCTTCCCTTCTTCACCGAGACTCCAGCTAACGACCGTAGGCGCAACCAGCTAAAAAACCTACAAGGCCCCCAAGCTCTTGGAGCACGACTATCCGCATTCTTGTTCTTCTTCCAGCCTAATAGTCTCTTGTTCTCCCCGAGAGCCTTACCTACGTCTCTCTCCTTGTAATCCCGCTCCCTCTCCCTCCGGTCCTCTCCAGCTTCGCCCTCCCCTTCTCCCTCGTTACCCTCCCCCC